ATCACATATCTCCTTAGCTGTCTTCTTCTCCTCGATGCTTGACAATACTTCATCTGCTAATGCTAGATGAAAGTTTGCCATAGCATTCCCGTCCATCTCGTTCCATTTGATGTCATCTGCGAAATCCACCGGCCTTTCATTGATAGCTGCTAGACACCCGTCTTTCCTTAGGATGGCCTTCATCTTCAATTTCCACAATGAGAAATTTCTCCCATTGAATTTTTCAATATCAAATTTCGTTGTCATAGCTTCTTTTACGGATAGCTCCCACTATTTCACTATCGTGAATAGTTCTCTGGAACCTTCAAAGAATGGGTAATAACTTCTTATTTTCTTATGTTTGGAGGATCCACATTTTGGTGGCAACCACAAATACAATAAGCAGATATTACACACTCTAATCTAGCTCGGATACCAATTTTTGCGGAAGACGGCTATCGGATAGAGCAAAATCGCAACTGATAATTTGAGAAAATAAAAATGAAGATAAAAGAGACACAAAATTTACGTGGAAAACCCCTAAAAATTTAGGGTAAAAACCACGGGCAACGGTAGAAGAATTTCACTATGAGAAAATATGAATTACAACCTCTCTCGATCTACCAAGAAGAAAACAATGATAATTCTCTCTAGATAAAAAAGAGAAAACAACTCTCAAGAAACTCTCTAAAATCTCTCTAGTATTGGAAGAAAGCTAGAATGCTTTGGGATGATTTTGAAGCTAAATGAGCTAGGGTATTTATAGTTGAAGCTTAAGGACTAAACTTGTAAATACCCTAAAAGTAAAGTGACTAAATTGGGTATTTTACCCTTTCACATTTTCAACAAAAGCTGCTTAATTTTCGGTGGAAATTTTTCAATCAATTTGCAGCAACTTTCGGTGCATTTATGCACACCAATCTTTGACTTTTCAATACAAAGCGTATTGCCTTCTCTTTTGTGTCTGCTGTAGCTTACGCTTTCTGCTAGACATTTGTGATCCCCTTTGTATTGTACCATCAGAATTTTCCTCTTTATGAAGCTTTTTTTTCAGCAGCTTCTGTTTTTTCTTTTTCTCAGCGTCCTTTCATTTCCTTTTTTCGTTTGTTCATTTTCTTTTTAACTTGCTCACATCTTTTGTATCATCATCCTCCCCTTTTGGCTTCTTTTTTCCAACCTGTTTCTAAACTCAAACTACTTAAAAGAATCTCGAGAAACTCTAAACTCAAGACCCTGAAATTCAAAAACCAGAAGAAATCAATGGGGGAAAAATCTTAAAATAGAAAGAGTGCCAAAGAGTCGTATCAAAACCGGCGGAAAGTGATCACGTACCTTACTACCAATGCAGCCGACTGAGCGGGATCCTATCGTACAACGGCGTCGTGTTATATTATGGTCCGGTAGAAAGCAGAAGGTCGCTCCAATGACGTTTCAAATGGTTTTGGGGATTATTTAGAGGTGGAGGGTTTAGAGAAGAGGGATTTTGGGGTCTCTCTATTGTGGGAGCTTTGCTTTTAGTTTGGCTAATTAGAGAGGTTGGTTACTTGCACGCGCACTAAAACCACCGAGTTTGAAGGGTAATATTGTCTTTTCATATTGTTCATTCCTCTTCATTTTCATTTTCCCCTCCATTTTTGCGCATGATTTCCGTTTATCCTTAATTGAAAATCAAAAGTTGCTGGAATTAATCCCAACAACAAATAAAAAAGAGAATAAAAGTTTACCCAAATAAAAAAAAGGCTAATATACTAAAAAAAAAAAGCCCTCAAACTACAACACTATATTCAAATAAGCCCTCATACTTATTTTGTAGCTAAATAAGCCCTACTTAACCCAAATGGCATTCTATGTTTGTATGGAGGATGAGATGGAAAATTATTTTTTTAAAACTTTTTTTCTTATAATTTTTCACATGTCACAATTTCATTAATTACAAATGTACAAGAAAAGTTATTGTATAAACTTCCACACAGATCACACCACATCATCTATAATCCTAAATCATTAAAAATATACATCTTATCCATTTTCCCTCCATGTCACTTTTTTCACAGGACGAATATTCAATTTGTTTTCATGTAAATATAAAAGTGAATGGTTATTTAAAAGTTAATTTTAAATTATTAGTAATATGGATGAAAAAGGGTAAGATGGAGAATTTATAGTGGTTGGGATCACGAATGATATAATAAGAAGGGTTTATAAGATAATTGATGACATGATAAAAATAGTTCATAAAATAATTTTTCATATGTGTGTTCCACCTCCTATATTCGAAAAGAAAAATACCATGCGAGTTCTACTTCCTATTTTCGAAAAGAATAATATAATGAAAATTTTACTACGACATAATAGTTATATTATTGTTATTCTCATCATTATTTGTGGTAACCAATACTAATGTTTTTATTTTGTCCCATTTATTTTAGTAATAAAAGAGACTCGGACTTTTAAAGTTATAAACTTTATTTTTTTTATGCACCTAAAATTCTGTAGATAATAGTTGTTATCAAATGTATCAAATTATGCTCTTAAGAGTGACTAGGATTTATTTTTTTATGCACCTAAAATTCTGTAGATAATAGTTGTTATCAAATGCATCAAATTATGCTCTTAAGAGTGACTAGGATTTGATATTTGGAGTTGTTTGTTGGATGCTTTGGTCTAATTAGAGATGCACATAGCCGGATTTAAATCCGATCCGGATCAGATAAAAATCGATATGGTTTTTTCACTAAGCCCAAAAATCGATTTATAAAAAAACCGGTTCGGATCATAACCGGTTTGGAGGGCCGGATGATGTAACCGGTTTCTGTTTGAAAAAAACCGGTTTTTAATCCGGTAAAAAATCCGGTCATCTAATTTTTTAAACCCCATACCGGATTTTTTTCCGGATAAAAAACCAGGTTTTTTTTCCTTTTTTTTCAACTGGTTTTTAATCCGGTAAAAAATCCAGTCGTCCAATTTTTTCCCAAACCGGTTATACTATCCGATTTTAAAATATCCGATCCGGTTTTAAAAAAACTGATTTTTCCCAAATTCGGTTTCGAATATTTTTTTTACGCAAAATCAGATATTCGAATTTTTTGTACACCTCTAGGTCTAATCATAATCAGAGATAAATTGAGGGACAAATAGAGGCAATTGTCTCTATAAAAATTCTAAATTATCATATATTTTAAGTATTTTCTTTATATTTTCTATTGTTAATATATTTTTACATGTAAAATTTTATAAATTTGCCCCTTATATAAAATCATGATCCGTCCCTGAACATAATTGTATGTTATTTGACTATGTCTATGAGTATACTGCTTGGGATATATGTGGCTTGCATGAGATGTGTTGGTGAGTTTAAATTGGCCAGAGTCACACACACACACACATTTGTGTCAAGTCAAAAGGCAAGTCTGGTGTTGAGTGAAATAAACCCACACACACACACACACATTTGTATCAAGTCAAAAGGCAAGTCGGGTGTTGAGTGAAATAAACCTAAACCCGGTAAACCCAGATTTCAAGTGGGGTATATTTTTATCAGTCAAAATCCTGACATATGTCCATCCCTATCAGTGCAACCATGAGGTAAGTTGGACTTTTGGGTTTACCAAGAATTTGGGATGGTGTGGCATCTTAGAAGTGGAATTATAGGGAGCGTTCCAAGGCCTCCGACAAGCAAGAGCAGTTGGATTCAATCAAGTCATGCTCGAATTGGGCAACCTTGCTGCAGTTCAGGTGATTGTAAATGGTGATAATGTTGATCAGTTTAATCCTGACCTTCGTGCCATTCATCGTCTGTGAAGCAAGCATTGGCAATGGGTGGTACGAATTTACCATGTGTGTACCGAGAGATGAATTGTGCAGCGGACGAGCTTGTAAACACGGCACATCTGCAACCTTTGGGAGCTCGAATTTATGGCCAGCCACCGGATGAAGCACTTAAAGAGGAAAAGGAGACTTTTAATATACAAAAACTTCAATGGAGTTTAAGCTAGAGAATACTATTGGCGTATACTGCACATAACAAAAATAATTATCGTGCATCCCTAAAGCTGGTCTACCATTGCATCCATAATCCAGGATCCAAAGGTTAATTCTTCCAAAATTCCTACCATAAAAAAAAAATCTATACCGAGCATACAGAACTCTAGTACCTTGATTAGTAGTTGCCATTAAAAATATCCGGATCTCTGCCAGAGATAAAGGTAAAAGGGAGCTTGGTTAGGCAAAACTCTCATCTCAGATTCGAGTGTTATTCACCCTCGACAAATGCACGTGAAGAGCCACTCCAGAATTATAATTCGAGTTAAGATCCAGAATCATGGTAAACTTGAGGACTTGATAAGAGAAGCTTCAGATTTGGTATTCATCCGGGTCATTAGTAAAGCTATATCAGACTCTGTTGCAGTTGATGTTTCTCTAATCATGGATGCTAACAATGGCAACCTCAGAACCGACAGACAACATTTCTGGACATGTGCATGCACCGCTGCAAGTTCCCTTTTTTTGGAGTATCATTGCAAACCAACGCTAGCATGAGAATTTAAATCGATTGGAGTCGAGACACCAACCTGTAGGGAAGGACCACATTTACTGACATTGGATGCAACATCAAAATGGCCATTCAAAGCATGTTGTGCACTTTCAGGTGATGATAGAGAAGTTTGGTTGGTCACATCTTTGGAAACAGCATGGGAATTTTTTGCTTCTTCAGACTGAAATACTGTCTTGCCAAAATCAGAAACACATTCTACCATATCTACTTCTAAATTCCCATGATGCTTCGTGTTATTTGCATCCTCAGATATCTGAACTGTACCATTAAAACCATTAGTAACTTCCTTACTAGCATCCTTTGGCACATGAAAAATAACTGCCACTTCATTGTCAACATGGACAATATTATCAGAGTCTTTGACAGAACCCTCATGTTTCGAGGTGCCATCAGGATGCGGCATTGTAGATTCAACAGCAGGTTCATTTTTATCATCTGTTTCAGGTGCAGAACTCTCAGCAGAAACATTCAAATCAAACGCAACCGAACATTTCTCTCCAGATTTATAGGACATCTCATCCATTTTCCACTCCTCTGTAACATGTGTCAGCAATGGTTTCTGTAACATATCCACACCAGGAAAGACCAACATATTCATGTTCCTCATCTTTGGCTTCCATGCAGCTTCTAGTGGTTCGAAACGAAAAACAGAAGTCCATGTTTCCCTCACTTCCGGTACTGCAGGTATGACCAATTTCTCAACATTCAGGGAGCTGAGGGCCTGAAATTAGGGGACAAGAAACATGAAAAATGAAATCCGGGTGAAATACATTAATTAAAATCAAAATAGCCTAATTTCACATCACCATTACTCTTTTCAGGCATACCCACAGTCCATTGAATGCATGTCACCTGTGAATTATCTTGTATCACTAGGTTGAGGGGAAAAGTAATTTGATATATGGTCATAATGTCTTCTTTTCTAAAAAAAATAATCTAATCATTAAGTAATCCACCCCCGTCCCCCCCCCCCCCGGAATATACTCTGGCAGGAAGTGCCATGCTGTATAACATTTAGTCATACATACAAAATAAACTTGTAGATATAAAAATTCTTTAAAATGTAATTAAGACTCCAGCAGTATAATACAAAATGAAAATATAAAAAGATAAACAGAATAATGATTCAGACATACAGATTCAATTGCGCATAGAAGCCGGCGACACATCCCTTGACGCCTATAAGCATACCGCGTCCCAATGAAAGGCATTTCAGCTAACAGGTTTCCATGGATCCTGTTAGCCCATAATTAAAAAATTGTAATCATTAGCATTTAAGAAAACAAGCACAACAGTTACGTGAGTGGGCAGGTTTATTAGTTTATGAGAAACAAATATACAATACTCAGTATTACACAGGTAATGGTGATTATGTACCATTAATTAATTGTATTTAAGAATATTAAACAAACTACAATGCGTCAAATCTTCAGTCTCAGTATATTCAACTATTAGTGGGCTAGTGGCAATTTGGATAGGGGGATAACTGAACAAAATAGCTTAAAATGTAAATATGTACTGGAAGCTAACAGAGGACAAAAGGATGGCAATCAAGAGTGTTCAATCGGATGAGTTGGTATGATTGGATGGATATCTTATACAATATTCTTCAAATGTAAAGACATTGTTTCCACATATTCTATCCAATAATTCGCAATAAACTAAGTACAAAAGTATTACCTGATGGATGCTGCAGCAATAATCTCATCCCCCTTTTCTAGAATTGCTGTGTAAAAACCACTGTAGTTTAACCTAGTGAAGTTTGACCTGAGTACAAAAGGAGATAATTCACCTGAAATAAGAATGTCTTGGTTTTGTTCAATTTCAAAATCACAGCAACAACAATTGTGCAGAAAAATCAAATATCACTTCACCATAAATATAGGCATTAGGTTGTCTCCCAGATGTTCACATCACAAAGAATAGTACCACTAGAGCACAATAGAATTACCCATGCCAATCTGTTAAAATGGAAGCCTTACGTTTCACATGGTTATAGTAACTATTATAATGTATAAATGTTACATTAAGCCATCACCACATATGTTGCCTGCTCAGATTGTTTTTATCTACACATTTAATGCTGTTTTGTTCATTAAATTTAACATCCTCTAAATTTGCAGACCTAGGGCAAGGGTACAGCATTGCACAAAGATCTTCTCTAAACTTCTATGCAGTAAGATCATTTTTCTTCGACAACATATGCATCCTTATACATATCTAACTTCAAATTAGGGATATTGAAGAAAGAAAGTTCTGCACAAATCGTAATTGCCAAAACCCACAAAAGAATTAAAAAAACGAAGACAATGCATACTGCACCAAGCTAAAAAAATAAAACCATACTTTTCACATCATAATTAGAAGAACCAAGTTTTCTTCAAGAATGTAATATAGACTCAAGTAGTGATAGAACACATACCAAAAATTATAGACGATATTATGAATCAGATTGATCCCACTTCTGTGGTCAACAAGAGGCAAAAAGCACTCATTCATCACTGATAATGCAACAGCTAGCTTTGAATTTGATTCAACATTTTGATATGCTTCATTGAGACAAACATCTGATCTGATATCAAAGCGCTGAACAAGGGTCCATGAGAAGCCTTCTGGAAGTTCATGTTTAACCCCAACTAGCATCTGAAGTCTCTCAAACAACTAGAAAAAAAGAAGCTTCAAGATTAACTTCGAAACATGAAAAATAGACAACACTCCTTCAAAAGGGTTAAACATAATACACACAATACTATGGGGCTCCCCCTTCCCATTCTTGCTAACCATAATGCACAAGATGGGATCAGATTAGTGGCCGAGTTCAATAACTGAAACATCCCTAGTAGATAAAGAGTTAGACCACTGCTTAAGAAATAGAGACAACCCCTCTTAAATTTGACAAAGCGAGAACCACAACCATTTCATACCATCAGATTGCTTAACTGACAACATAAAATAGCAATTAAAACTATATTTTACAAATCTAGCAAATCACTACAAATTCCTCGTGGCACAACTATATCAATTACCAACTAAAATTGTACCTCTTTGCATCTCTTCCCACAAAAGAACGCACTACTCGAATCATCATCAAAAGCATCCATTGGCTGAATACAAGGTTCATGATCTATTAAAAAAGTCCTTCAGAAATGAATGGCATAAGGAAAATAATGGTGACACCAGTATTTAAAATAAAGGTCAAGGGAATCAACAATAAACATATAAACACAACAGCTTTGAACTTAACAAAGGCATACATTTTTCTTCACATAACTGGCATGTTAGAACTGTAGGATATGTATCCTCATCATTGCCACTTTGACACATATTCCCAACCAACCCACAATATTTGCATGTACAGTAGACACAGTTCCAGCTACCTGAAGGGAATGCCTGGGACAAATAAAAGAAAATCAGAAAAAGAGTAGGATTAAGCATGATCAAGATTTCAATTTTCACTGAAACTAAAATATGCATCTGCATGTAACTCCAGAAAAAGGCAAAATATTGAAATAGAATTCTCGGACAGGTTTCCTTCTTACTACTTTTCACAAATGATTCATATTGTGAACTTCGACAAAGAAATCCCTTTCCAAAAGCCTTCAAGAAAGAATTCTGAGCATAAGTTCCAATATATGCTTGTTGTTCTAAGTTTCAGTCACTCTTTGCCCTACACTATTAGGGTCCACAGCAAAGAAGGGAAAACAAAATATGAACTAAAGATATTCCAGGCAGACTGCAAGTTGTAAATAAGAGAATTTTAGCAGAGGTTGAACTTAGCAAATTGTCTTAACGTTATACACACACCAAATCCCCTTAATAAAATAGATTTCATTCTCTGCTAAATGTAACATAAAATTATCAAACATTTTCCCTTCCTTTCATGTGCAATAGTAATGAAAAACTGATTCAGAGAAATTAAAAGCTGGGAAAGGAGCTAGACCCCATATGCATGTAATAAAGACATGGCAACAAGGACTTACTTCTATACCTAAGCAACTTTGATGGAATGTTGATGGGCAACTATCACAACAGATCAAATCACCACCATCCCCACAAATACCACAGGTATCGTCATTTGGATCTTCACCAAAATCCACAAAATGGAAGCCCTTACGTTCAGCCTGTTGTTTGTTCCATGCATCTAATAAGCATTGCAACAGGGAGACTCCTGTGTCTAAACATATATTCTGGAAAGGTTGATGAACTTTGCTCCCCGCATGAATTTCAAATTCTGCAATGGCGAAGACATCACTACAGCAGTTGCATTGGATTCCATCCCTAGTTATCCTACCAGACTTACTTTCACTAGTACGTGTTCTTTTTTGAATCAAACATTCCACTTTCCCATCCTGTGGAACAGTTCCCGAATCAATCATCCAAGAAAGCAGGGTCCGCTTACCATCATATAGCATATAACCATCATTATCAGATCCAGCTCCATCCATTGAGTTGCGGGCCAACAAAGCATACTGCTTTCTCTTTTGTGTCTGCTGTAGCTTACGCTTCTTGCATGACACTTGTGTTCCCCTTTGTAATGAACCATCAGAGTTTTCCCCTTCATGAAGCTTCTTTTTTTTCTTTTTCTCATTTTCCTTCCATTTCCTTTTTCGTTTATTCATTTTCTTTTTAACTAGTCCATCATCCTCCCCTTTTGGCTTCTTTTTTCCAACCCTTTTCTTTTGAACTATTCTTTTAAGGATGCTAAGTTCCTCTTCAGGAATTGGAGTAAATACAAAGCCATTTGGACAAGCCTTAGGGTCACCATTCTCATAATTGTTTTTAAGCACCCTGTAGGCCAGGGTAACTGACCAGTGAGTATTTCCTTCAGGATTAACATACACTGCATCATTGTACTCTCTTTTATTCCGAGGCCTGTAAACAATTGTCCAACCTGCTTCTTTTAGCATATTCACTATTCGATCTCTCAAAGCTTGTTTTGCTTCTGACTTTCTAAGTTCACCTTCATCCCCTGCTTTCTTTACTCTCTTTTCATTGCCTTCCACTTCCACAATTAGTGAAGCTTTGCTCTCATTCTTTTCCATATCATCAAATAAATCCTTATTAGCAGACCTCTTAAGATTTGATTCTTTCCCAATCAGTCTCTTCTCTGAATATGAAGTATTAGCAGGCATATTAAACTTTAAATTACCCCTCAACTTCTTTCTGCCTCTTCTTAGCCCACCCACCTTTTTTCTCCCATCTATAACCCTCCCCTTCAAACCCTTATTACCACCCTGCACCTTTGCTGGTCTTCCTTGCTTACGGAGCACACCTTCCTTTACCTTGCTACTACATTGATCAATCCCTTCCCTTTCCAACTCAACTCGTTTATTCAGTAACCCCTCATTGCCCTGCACATTGGGTGGTCTCCCACGCTGATGCATGACCTTCTTCCTAGACTCACAATCAAAGTGATTGCCCACTCCCATTTCCGCATCAACAGCTTTCATCTCAACCCCATAATCAAAATTCATCTTGGGTGGTGACTCATGCTTGTGGTTTGCTTCCTTCCTTGCCAAAACATCAGAGTGATAACTCTCTCCTGCTTTAACCACATCTGCTTCCTTCTCAACCGCCAAAGTCCTCTGCCCCTTTACTGATCTGCCACGCCCACGAGCACGATTTAACTTCTTAATGCCACCAACATTAGACTGATCACTCTCTTCTGCTTCAATTTTAATTTCTTTCTTCTCAAACCCACATTCCCTGCACCTTCCGCGGTCTTCCATGCTTGCGCACCTTCGGTGGTCTACCACGCTTACCTTTTGACTCCTTACTCACATCCCCGTCAAAGCTCCCTGGTTCTTTAGTAAATCCTTTCTTTACATAACTATCATTACCTGGTACCTTGGGTGGTCTCCCAGGCTTGCGCTTGATCTTCTTCCTGACTTCACCATCTGGGCAATCATTCTCTCCTACTTGCCGCTCAAGTGTCTTCTTCTCAAACTCACTATTCTCCTGTACCTTCCGTGGTCTTCCAGGCTTACCCACCTTCCGTGGTCTACCACGCTTACACTTTGACTCCTTACTCACATCCACGTCAAAGCGATCACTCCCCCCAGCTTCTTTAGTAAATCCTTCCTTTATATACCTGTCATTGCCCAGTACCTTGGGTGGTCTCCCAGGTTTGTTTTTGAGATTCATCCTGACTTCACCATCCTGGAAATCATTCTGTCCTACTTGCCGCTCAAGTGTCTTCTTCTCAAACCCATTCTTCCCCTGAAAGTTGGGTGGTCTCCCACGCTTACGCTTTTCCATCTTATCCACCTTTCTCTGTGCCTCCTTCATTTCGACATGAGACTGATCATTCCCCTCCTTAACTACTTCATTTGTTTTCATCTCAGAACTATTTCCATCTTCAGTTTTAACAACCCTATGCTCAACCTTATCCCCTTCGATCCCACTCAAAGTTTTCACTGCAGACATCGACCGCAAAACCCTGCCAGAAAACTGCGGTTTACATTCTAAGGCTTCCTCCTTGACTTTTTTCTTCACACTATGTTCTTTACTATCTTCATTACCCTCACTCTCATCAGGTTTCAACTGCAAACATCTAGATCCTTCCATATCTAACAAAACCCTAGATTAAAAAAATTCCGTTTTCCCCTTCGCTCAGAAAATGATCTCACTGTGTATCAATCATATAAAAAAAAAGTAAACAAACCCCATTGGATTTCACCTTGAACAACAGAAAACGTAATTTCCCAAACTACTCAAAAGGAGATTTTAAAACCAGAAGAAATCAATGAAGATAATTAACGTGCAAAAGAGTCGTATCAAAACCGTCGGAAAGTGATCACGTAACTTACCCACAATGCGGAAGATTGAAACGGGACCCTACCGTTTAACGGCGTCGTATTGTACTGTCGATAGATAGCTTAAGGTCGTTCCAATGGCGATTCAAATGTTTATCGGAATTATTTATTTAGGGGGGAGGTTAGAGAAAGGTTAAGGAGCAGCTTTGCTTTACTATGGGTGATTACTGTGGTTGGTTCTATGCAATAAAACCACTAAGTTGGAAGGGTAATATTGTCTTTTCATATTGTTTCCTTATTCTTTTTTCCTCATTTTCACTCCCCTATTTGCGCACATTTTCTCTTTCTAAATAAAAAAAATAGAAGTTGACCCAAGTAAATAAAGGGTAAATATATAGTTTAGTACCTAAACTTAATGCATAATGTCAAATAATACTCAACTTTTGACTAAATAATCACTTTGACTCATATTTTCTTTTTAGCATTTGGGCCCCTAACATTTCATTTAGGGAAAAAAGGCCTTTCTCTAGATGAAAATTGTTAAATATCAAATTATTAACACTCTAAAATATAAGCTTTTTAACCCTAAAATGAAATAGTAAGGACCAAAATGCTTTAGAAAAAAAAGAATAAGGGCCAAAATGATTATTTACTTAAAGTTTGGAGCATTTTTGTCCTAAAATAAAACGTTATGAGACAAAATACTACAAAAGAAAAGATTATTAGTTAAAATGACTATTTTAATAAATATTGGGGGCTAATTTTGGGATTACGCCTAAACTTAATTTGAAGATTCAATTTTACACTTAAAGTTTTTTTATTCATTTAGATACTTGAACTTGGCTTTAAGTTTTAATGTAGTATCAAAACTTGTCTTTTTCCAATTTTATAATTAGATTTGACTTATTGGTTTAAATTAATACCTGAATTTAGTTTATCGGTACTTATTTTTGATTAATCTCAACTAATAAGTCAATTTAAATTATCAATTTAAACAAAAATCTTAAGTTAAGGTGTTTAATTGAACAAAAGAAAGTTTTTTTTTATTAATCTGGAGTAAGTACAAGGTAGAATATATTCAAAGATAATTCTAAACCTTTTGATATTGAACGCTCGTACCCCTGATATTTTTTGTGCTGGTACTCAGGACCTCAAAGAATAACAACAATTCCTTTTTCACCGAGGTCACTGGTTCATGCAAGAAAATTTAATTACCAAAATGAACCTTAAAACCAACTTCAGCACCTAATTGGACCAAGACAAATCTTTTAAGTAGCCAATTGAACCTTTTTTTAATAGCAGCCAATTGGACCTTGAAACCAAGTTGGGGGATGTATATTTACCCATAAAATAAATAATCATAGGTTTTTAATTTTTTTTTGGAATTGTTTTTTGATTTGATTAATTTTAGTTTTAAATTTTTCTATATTAAGTTTGAATTTTCATTTTTTAGATTTTATTTTAATTTTCACGACTTTTAAATAATATTTGATAAAACTCTTAAGTTTTTTTTCTCTTAAATATGTTCTAAAAGATTAATTTTTCAAGTAAAAATTACTAATAATTCGTATATAGTATATTGGGTAAACTACACATTTAGTATCAAAATTATTACTTTTATTATGTTTTGATATCCAAACATTATGTTTTCCAAAATCATACCTAACGTTTAGTTTAAGTTTTATTTTAATACCCATCGATAAAAACTTAACGGTGATGTTTATGTGTCACCATAAGATAATGTCACGTGATCATTAAAAAAATAAAAAAAAAAGTCACCTCGGCAGTTTTGTTAATCTTTAAACGGTTGGTACCAAATTGAAACCTAAACTAAACATTGACATATTTTTTTTTAAAAAAAGTACCAAAATGGAAAAAATAATAGTTAGGTACTAAACGTGTAGTTTACCATAGTATATTTTAATTAGAAGGGTAAGATTGAGTTTTTAACATCGTTCCTTCCTTCTCATTTTCCCTCCCTATTTCCGCACGTTTTCTCTTTCTCCCTTAATAGAAAATAGAAAGTTGCCAGGCTTACCCCCAAAAAAATTAAAAATAAAATAAAATAAAATAGAAGTGGATCCAAATAAATAAATAAATAAATAAATAAAGGGATAAATATGTCATTTAGTACCTAAATTTGACACTTCAAATTTTCTATTCAATCACATACTTGAACATGGATTTAAGTTTTAATTTAGTATCGAAACTTATCTTTGCCCAATATGATAATTGCATGTGACTTATTGGTTCAAATCGATACATGAATTTGGTTTATCAATACTTATTTGTTTAACTGATTTGAATTAATAAGTCAAGTTTAAGTATTGATTTAAACAAAAATCTCAAGTTAAGGCGCCTAATTGGACAAAAGAAAAGTTTAGTTACCAAATTGAACCTTAAAACAAAGTTTAGTACCTAATTGGACCCCAAAAAAATCTTTTAAGTAACCAATTTAACCTTATAATCAAATTGAGGGACCCAATATGTATATTTACCCATAGATTAATAATCATAGGTTTTTTCATCATTAAATGCTTAATATTTATTTCATTTATTTACATTTTATTCTATTTTTAATTAATTTTGGTATTTGGTAATAACTAACACTAATTGATTACAATTAAGGAGTGTAAGCTTTGATTTGATTTAGCTTTTTTTTAATATTTTTAAAATTATTCTTCAATGCTTTGTTCCATTAATTTCGGTTTATCTATTTATCCATATTAACTTTAACTTATTTTTATATTTTATTTTTTTATTAAAATAGTGTTATTTTATAGTTTTTAACATTATTTAGTAAAAGAAATTAATTTTTTTTCATAAACACTTTTTAAAAAGTTAATTTTCAAGGAAATAAAATTACTAATAATTCATATATATTATTTTAAGTTATTTTTATTACTTTTAAGTATAAAATAAGTATTTTTATATAATAAATAATTATAATTAATTATAAATTAAATAAATAATCAAATTTTAATCGCTTAAGCAAAGTCTCGACTTCGAGTCCTTGTGTATGCAGAAAATCTCTGCTGGGAGACTCATCCACTAAAGTCAAGTGTGTGATGCGGGTCGGTCCGGATTAATTAAGGCAAAACCTTGAAACTGAGAGGGCAACAAAAATAATAAAAAAAATTAATTTAATTTGGATATCTACTATTTTTAGATTTATAAATCAGAAATCATTGAAATATTGTGTTTTAGATAATATTTAATTAATCATTTTTTTTGTTAATCACTAATTCAAGTCTATTAATTTCTACCTCTCTCGAAAAATAAAAACATACGCGATAAGGGTTTTGTAAAATCCTCTAAAATGTGATTTAAAAAAAAATTGTTTATTGAAATATCATAATTTCTTTTCAAAAATATCCGTATGGGAATATGATATCAGCGTGAGTAAAGCTAAAGATTATTAAAATTTCAATTTAAATTTGGGAATTTCCTTTTTTTTTTAAGAATTTAGTTCAAAATTTTATGTAAGATTATTTATTAAATATTATATTTACTTTATATTATTATTAAGTTCATAACTAAATTAGTGTAGTATCAATTAATCAGACACTTTTATATTTTATATAATTATTATATCCTTAATTCGACCTTTATATAATGTCGAATTGAAAGTGACACATACAATCATCGAAATGGCCTTAAAATTTACACACTTTGGTGATACGATATACTCAATTTTTTAAAACGAATAATACAAAAATATGAGATACATAAAATAAAGTACAAAAACGTATCTCCTTTATTTAAAAACTAAATACAAAATGAAATATGTACAACATGACTTAATAGGGCATAAAATCTACTTGCACACTCAAGTCTCCTATAGTATTTTAATACTCTCACTCCTCCGATAATATCATTATCTTATTGCGATCCTCAAGAATTGTAGTATGCGAAAAAAATAATCTAAACATTGAGTTAACAAAGTTTAATGGTACACATTTATTCCACTATGTTTCATGAAATTTATAAAAATAAG